GAATTGGGTCTCTATACCCCGGATAGATAGGCTCTTTAGGAATGTATTCCATATTCTGATTTAGATCAACTTGTACACAAGGCCCAACCCGCTGTTGACGTGCTTGACGAGCGGTCTGAACACCGCTCCCAGTAGCTCGATCCGCCGCCCATAACTCCACCATTAAATCGTAGTGTCTGATAGTGTCAACTCTCCACTTTTTTGCACTTAGCCTCGACTGAAACAACATACATTAAACAGATAGTGGTTGACCTTATGTATTTTAACATCCACCAAATCTGAATATTTAAGAAATACCTTAATGAGGTTAGCCAGCTTCGTCCTCAGCTTCAAATCTAATACTTAGGGCGTTCCAATCAAATCCACTCAATCCAGCAAAGAGGTCATGAACCTCACGTCGTCTGTCTTTCAACACCTTTTGACGATTTTTGACATTACTATGAGTGAATATGTAAATTTATCATTTAAATCATTTGAATCGGTCAATGAAAATGTAAATTTATCAAACGATGTTAATGTTATTCAGTTGTATGATGACTTCTTAATTCAATGTTTAGGATTGCTTAGGTGTCATAGATGGTACTCATGTTCGTGCAAGAGTGTCAAGAACAAATGCTCTGAGATTTCGTGGAAGAAAAGATTTGCCAACTCAAAATGTGTTTACCGCATGTGACTTTGAAATGAAATTCACATACGTTCTAGCTGGGTAGGAAGGCGGGAAGGCACACAATCTGATTCTAGAATCTTAAAAAATGTTCTTCATCGAGATGATTCGTTGGTGATCCCCCAAGGTAAGTGTCTTCATTGGGATGTTATGATTTGTTCTTTATTAGTGACAAAATACTGATGTGTATAACATTGTAGGAAAATACTATCTTGGCGACGCCGAATTTATGCTGAAAGGTACGGTTATGACACCATATAGAGGCGTCAAATATCACCTTAAAGAATTTACACGCAGAGAACCACAAATATCACCTTAAAAATCGTCAAAAGATGTTGAAAGACAGATGGCGTGAGGTTCATGACCTCTTTGCTGGATTTAGTGGATTTGCTTGGAAAGCGTAAGTATGAGATTTGAAGCTGAGGATGAAGTATGGGCTGACCTCGTTCAGGTATTTGTTAAATATTCAGATTTGGTAGATTGTTAAAATACATAAGTTCAACCATTATCTGTTTAATGTATGTTGTTTCAATCGAGGCCAAGTGCAACAAAGTGAAAAATTAACATTATGGAACACTATGATTTAATGGTGGAGTTATAGGCGGTGGATCGAGCTACTGGGAGTGGTGTTCGGACCGCTCGTCAAGCACGTCGATAGCGGGTTGGGCCTCGTGTACAGGTTGATCTGAATCAGAATATGGAATACATTCCTGAAGAGCATATCTATCCAAGGTATAGAGACCCAACTCCACCATCACCTCCTCCATCTGTGGATGAGTATAGTCCAGGACAAACTCAATTTGTGACTTCAGTTCCATCCGGAGGAACTTCATACTCACGAGGTTCCAAAAGGAAGACAAATATGATCGATGTGATAGATGCTCAATTTGATAAGTTGACGATCAGCATGGATGATTTTACAAATGTACTTGGCTATAAAAATGTTCATTTTGGTATAATTTCTGATGCAGCCGTATGTCAAGTCTCAGCAATGGAAGATAGAAATCAAATACTCCGTCGCACCTCGACGTACACATACACAGAGGGCGACATTTATGAAATGTTGAGTGATATGAATATTGCTAATAAAAACTTGCTCGAGCAATGTTATAATTTCTTATGTGAAAACCCAACATGTACAAAGAAGTTGATGAGACTTTCACCAGACAAGAGGTGGAATAAGTTATGTAAAATGATCTCCGGTGATGACTGTTAGGGATGTCTTCAATGATTAGTTGTATTACAATTATACTATTATATGTTTAATGTACCTGTTTTGTAATTGTGACTTATTGGTTTTGCATCAATATTCAACTTTAAAGTTATGGTTATGGTTATGATCTAATGTTTTATCTTTGCTTATTGTTATTATTAGTATGTAATAATTTGTTATGACTTAACTTGTTATTGTTTTTATTTATGGTTTTATTGAAGAAATTGTTAAATGGCCTCATCATCAACCAAAAGGCCTAAAAAAAGTCGTAAGGGAAATGAGACTGTAACTGAGGCAGAAGCTGCAACCTATGTCAGACAATTTGAAGAACAATTAAATCAGCATCGTTTCTTCAGTCACAGCCATAAGATAAAAAACTATGCAGCTGATTTCTACACAAGGAATATTGTTGTCCCCAAAAAGAGAATTTCGAATCATTTGTCGGTTCAACCTTATATTTTCAACATCATCTTCTATTTCAAGGAGTGGTTCAATTTCTGACATTGCAGACATCCTTCTATCCGGATTTAATAAAAGTTTTTTATTCAAATCTGAAGATTTCTGGTAATGGATATTTGCTTAGTGAGGTCAACAAGAAAAGAATTAGATTGAAACATGTTAATTGGTTCAATGTTGCTAATATGAAGTATGAGGGTCACAAATTGTGTTATTCAAATATCTCAGATGACTTTCCATATGATCGGGATATGACATTAGCAACTATGGTTAGACCATAAATGCATGGTCAATGACTTAAAACAGTTGGTTGTTTGAATATTAATGATAGACTTCTGCATTATGTTGTTGTGCACATGTTGACTCCACAACCTGAAAATTTTGCAAAGTTATTGCAGGAGGATATCTTCATGTTATGGGTGTTGAAAAATAATATAGCTATCAATTAACTTCATCACATCATGCTGCTTAAATGCAAGGCCGGTGACACACCCCTACCATACGGTATCCTTATCACCCAAATCCTGCAATATTGTGAAGTACATGTTGATGTCGATGCCAGCACTCATATTGGGACCAAACATCAATTTTTAAATAATTCTTTAAAGAAGTTGAATATTGTTAATGTAAACTGTGTTTGGCAACACAATGTCGGTGATGATGAAGAAGAAGACCAACCACGCCATCATGAGAACCATGTGCAACCTCCTCCACATCAATCAAATCCTAATATGATCACTTAAATGTGGGAGGTGATTCAAGACTTGCAACACAGAATGCAAGGTATGGAACAAATACAAGTGCGAGTTCAGCGTATTGAAGATAACTTAACAAACCTATCCATCGACATGAACCGACAATTTGCTCACCTAAATCAGAATGTTAACTTAATTCTTCACCATTTAGATGATTAAGTTACTTACTTGTCCGTGAATGTATTAGATGAATATTTTGCTTAAATTCACTTATGGTTATTCATACTTACATTATGTTCGCACTTTTTATTTTATGTCATATAATATTATAACTTCGTTTAATTATCGGCTGTATACAAAATTAATAAATCTCATTTCCATAACAAATAAATTCATATGTCTTAGAACTAAATTATATTACAAACAAATACTACATTTAAAAATAAATTCATTTTACTAAATTATAATTTTTTTACTTTTTAAAAATTAATTTTAATTAATATTTTTAATTTTTTAATCTTTATAAACGTTTTTACAAATTAAAAATAACATTAACAATTATCATCTTATATTATTTTAATAACTAGGGGCATTTGGGTAATCTTTATTTTCTACCATTCAAACAAATTTTTTTAAAATTGTCACATCAATCAAATCCTAGAGTAATTCTCACAAACTTTACCTCTAAATTCACTCTCAATTACCTTCAAATTCACTCAAGTAAACATAAAAAGATTTTCCCTCAAATCCATTCACTCACTCTCCCCAAATCATCTCTCCCAAGTGAACACAACATTATAGATTTCATGCACATTAGACTTTGAAAGTTTTTTGGTTTTCCATCTAAGTTCCTCCTTTACGAGACTCTTATATAAGTTCACATTACATTTAAATGTCACTATAACATGTTTTTTACTCCTACGTAACTCCTAGGTTGTGTTACTTGTTAAATGTCACTCTAACATGTTTTTCACTCCTACATAACTCCTAGGTGTTTTACTTTTTGAACGAACCCTTATTGTAAACTCAAACTCTTCATCACTTTGAACAAACCCTCTTCCTCTGCTCAAAATGAGGAGAGAGGAGGTGAAGAAAGGAATGCTCACAAGCTTTCCCTGTTAAAGAGTAGTATCTAGAATAATGTTGGAGGACTAGATTTCATAGGAAAGAGAAAGAATTTCTAAGCCATTTGAAATCAGGTTGTTGTGACTTGGATTACAAGGTTCTTAGCTGCAACTTGAAATTAGGAATCAAGCAATTGGCCCCAGGGGGATTCCGTTATGAAAGTGGATAATCAACTTTGAAAGACTTGATGTAAATTCTCATTACTTTATCATCCTGACCATATATTAGCTTCAACTCATTCTAGCCCTTCCTTTTTCAAAACCTTTGGTATCGTCTAGGTCGATGTGCAATGCAGTGTCAGGAGCATCTCATTAGATCTATGTTAATTCAACAATATCGACAAGCCAAAGTGTAAGACTTTAAGGTCTTTATTGTCATCTAAGAGCAGATTCTCTGACTTTAAATGATATTGATGAGTCGTTGAAAGTACTTTTTAGTGATGTTTATCTTCATTTTTCCCTTCACCACCTTGGCGAAGGGTTCCCCTCCTTTAATAGATTCTATGAAGATTTTGGATTTAATGGTGATCACCTCTATGAACTCCAAGATATGAAAGATGAGACATTAAGTGCATGAGACAAAGCTTTGCGTTTTATCAGAAAAGAGAACAATGTTGTTAATCTACATGTTATTCTTAAAAAGGGGGGAGAAGAATTGTCCAATTTGATTAGAGTTTTTACACGAGTGTTTCTTTGACAAAATTTTAAAAATAATATAAAACATATATGTAAGATAAATTATTTAATCACTAATTTACGTGCATAACTCCAATATTTGTGTCTCACACAGGAATAAAATAGAATTAACAGTCCTATGATTGAAGAAACTCTAATACAAGAAAACAAATTTCAATGACCCATTTGGATATAAATAAAGTTTATACATAGACCTATGGGTAGCACTTTTTTAAAGCACCAAGATATTTCATCTAATAATATTGTCCTTACATTTTTATTTTCTCCGTTCAACGTCTCTCCCATCTTTCTACCCAAACTGACCCCATACACACCGATGGCGTCAACGTTTTTCACAACTCGTTGAAATCTAAGCAAAAAATCTTCCGCTACCTAGTTTGATTGAGCTTTTCTGGGGAATATAAATTTAAAATTAAGAATATTAAGCATGAACAACAAGAGCTTGTTTGCAAATTACGAATCACAAGAAAATTTCCATTTCCAATTTTCCACCATGATTCGGATTCGATCTATGTCTAATGTTTCACTGGAGCAATTCACCAGAACAATAATTATACAAAGAGAAGAAAAAGTAAAAGAGGAAAGAAAGAAAAATCGTACTCTGGAAGTAGGCACCGGAGACGCCTCGGATTTTGAATCGGCGGCTGAGACTAATGGACGGAGCCATTGGTGGCGCCGCGGTTCTTGGAGGTCGTCATCATCGTCTTGAACTCCTCAAAGTTGACGAATCCATCGCCGTCGGCGTCGACGGACTTGATCATGTCGCGGCATTCATCGACGGAGCACTTGAGGCCGAGGCGGTTGAGCGCGAGGTGGAGCTCCTCAGCTGAGATGAGTCCGTTTTTGTCGCGGTCGTAGAGGTCGAAGGCGTCGCGGAACTCTCCGACTCCGCCGTCCGCGGAGTCGGAGCGGCAGAAAGCGGCGAACTCGGTGAGGCTGATGAAGCCATCGCGGTCAGTGTCGAGGTCCTCCATGACGCGGCGGAGGTCTTCCGGCGAGACGCCGGATCCGAGCGTCCGGAGCACGCTGTCAAGCTCGTCCGCGGAGATCTTGCCATCGCCGTTGGTGTCGAAGCGGTTGAAGACTTTCTCCAGTTCGTTCATGTCTTCGAAGTAAGGAAATGAGTCGGGATCCGATTTAGGTTTCGGGTCGGATTCTGAAGGCACGGGTGGGTTCTTTGTTGCCATAGCTTCTTTCGTACGGATTTAGCTTTTGGTTTGGATGAACGGTTTACGGTGCTCTTGATTGTGGGTTTGGTTTTATAGGGGTTTGGTTTGCGATTAGTGTCTGGTATGGGACCACAACAGATTCGAAAAGTAGAACAGATTCGAAAAGTAGAACGTTGCAGACTTGTGAAGGACAACGTGCTTCAAATAAAAATAATCAAAATGTAAAAATGGAAAGTGTACATTTAAAATATAATTAATACACTTTTCTTGGAAGGAAGAAAATATACCACTTGCCATACAATTTTTTCCATTCTAAGTAGAATATATTGAATAAAATTATATTTATAATAAATTTTAATGAATAAAACTTTTTCATTCATTTTTATGGTATATATATACACATAAGTTAAAATTAGTTTATTTATAAATAAATTATGAGATTATTGAATATGTCAAAACTTAATCGAAAGTTTGAAAAAAATTCCTTCAACTAATGAATTTGATATAGTGTCTATTTTAATGTTTGAATTTATATAATAATGTAAAATTGTATGTGATTTTATTATAATTTTGAACATAAATTTATAATAAAATGGTAAAATTTTAGTGGTAGTTTAATGTTTTGATGATCAAAATTAAATCTCTTATTATTCAAATGAAAAAAATATATATGAACACTTACCTTATATATATAATACTAAAGTATATAATAATAATATATTGATATCTCATACGAATAATAATTATAATACTAAATTATTAAAATTAATTATGATATGTGAATATTATTTCAATATATAATTTGAGTTATTTTATAATTGAGAGAGTCTAATAAATTTTAGAATATCTAATGAATTAAGTAGGATGAATATAAAATAATAATAATAATGTTTAGTACTTATTATAAAAAAAAATAGTATATTGACACAGTATATATTTCAATGATAAGATGATAATAAAAAGATAAATTTTTATATTTAAAAAAAAATAAGAAAAAAAACATAAAAAATAAATATAAAAAAATTGTGCGACACAAAAGTATATTTTTTTTTATAGAAGAACATTGATGCGAGATATGGTTGTGTTGAGTAACCGTGTTTGTGAAGGGGAAGATTGCAAAAGGAGGAAGAATGGCACATTCTGATGCCAAAAAAGTTAAATTAGTTGCTTGAAGGATGAAGATTGGAATTTAGTTTCCCCACTGAGTATTGAACAAAATGCGTGTACTTTAAGGGATGGGTGTCTGCTATGAATCACAGCATGTGACTCTGCCAACCCTTCAATGCATGCCTTTGACTTTCACATGTGGAGACCACCTACTATTAAATATATTTGGTATTCCATCTTATTTTAACTTGTAGGTAACCAGACAAAATCTCATTTAATTTTGCTTTTATCAAAAAGTCTAATGAGAATTTAGTATTTTAATCTAGAACATTCAATATTATATTTATCTAAATGATAATCTAAGAGTATTTATAAATTTTAAAACACTCATGTATAGTTTCTTTTAGGGATAATAAGCCTTGGATAATAAGGTACTAGCTATTTTTAATAAAAATAAAGTTATATCATTAAGCATTTCCTATTTATGTAAGTTTTGTCTGGTTATCGATTTTCGTAATTTAGTCTTTAAAAGTAAAAAATTGACCCAATTGGATCTTTCCTATTAAATTGGTTTAATAGAATTAAGTTTTTGATGACCTGTTACGTTAATATGGTAAGTTTTTTATATGTTTGAATTGGTTTAATAGAGTGTTACGTGGAATTTCCTGAGTTTGACACGAAAAATGTTTTCTTCAATACCCTAGACGAGGAGTCCCAACAACTTTTGCATACTCCGAATACACCACGAATTGCAAAAACAAAATATGGCACACCTTTTCCTAAACTTTGATTATCATTTGAAATGTTCGGAAATAGAAAACAAAATTGAAATGAGAAAAGGTTATTAAGATTGATTCACCTCGGAGGGAGAAAATTTCATGCCATTGAAATAGCTATAAAATTCATCGGCGACGAAGTGATCGACAAACTTTATCAACACGCTATACCATCCTGTCGTTCCTGCATGAAACAAGAAAATGAATAGTTAGTTAGGGTTTACACGAAAGGGGGGAGAGTGGAAATGAAGGGAACCTGATGAAGAGAAGGTGGTAAAAGTTGTCGAGGTGGGGCCGCAAAAGGGGATGAAGTCGTGGAAGGAGAGGTAGTTGGGGACAGAGAGGATGAAAAGGAGAGTGGAGGGGGAGGTTTGGGTTGGGATGGAGGAGCGGGGAGAGGTTCGGATCAAGTGGAGTGCGCCTCTACATTTGCTAAATTTAGGGTTGTTGGATTGGGAATGGGATCGAAAGATGGTTTGGGGATCGAAAGATGGTTTGGGGATCGATAACTCCAAGCACACTAGCCAAACCGAGCTTCACCCCCTTCAACGTTGTCGAGGCCTTGCAGGCCCAATCAACCCTGATAGAGGAGGTCATTCCCGGCGCCTACCGTTAGATTGGACTCCACTTCAATCTCGAACCTAATTTGATTTTAATAAATCCTAATTTGGTGGTACTTAATTTCATATTTTACAAACTTATTGGGTTTCATGAAAACCAAATTTTGTGATGAACCTTGAGCATCAATCGTTAGGGTGATGAAAGGTAAGGTTGAAGATGATGAACCCTAAATTGGGTTTCAATTCTCATAATTTTTTTTAATTATATATTCCACATATAAAGCTCTGCGAATGTCACGTTTAAAAAATTGTCCACATTAACGTCCAGGTCATCAAAAACTTAATCTCGTTAAGTCAATTTAACGGCATGGACTCAATTGAGTCAATTTTTCACTTTTAAGGACTAAATTGAGAAAACTGATAATACAAGGATCTAACTAGGAAAAACTCACATAAATAGGAACTCCGAAAGTGGTTTAGCCTAAAAATAATGTACCTTTTGGTCATTAATAGGATTCTTAAATATCAAGTACTTTGAATCAGAGTTAAATATCAAATATCATGCACCATTGTCACACCTCACCTTTTAAAGGACAATATGTCACTTTAGCCTTAAATGGGAATTTTGTCTCAATATTTCTCTTTAAGCATCAAACTATAATCACTTAAATGATATTTATATATTAATTATACATTGCTTGAGTGTGCTGTATTAATTCAAGTATATTTTTTTTTATTTAGATTCTTGTAGACTCTACAAATAAGATTCATTTATTTTGTTTTCAAAATAGAGAGTAAATAATATTTCTTACCATATATCCTTTCTTTGTGTGTGTGTATGTTTCCTTTGTTCTCTTCCCCTCTGTTTTTTCTCTTCCAAATCAACAATGGTAGAACAAGGTTCATTATGGGTCTGTGTAGTGAGAAAATGGCAAATGGAGATGAAAATTTTCTGGGTAATCTACTAGAAACTATGAGATACAAGATGTCTTAGAGGGCTGGTCTGGTTTTGACTGGTGTGGGGATAGTAGTGACAGGAGAAGCACTACTGGTTTCTTGTTCAAGTTTATGGGTGCAGTAAAAAGCAACAAGTGGTGGCTTTGTCCACCTATGAGGCAGAATACATAGCTAAATTTGCTATTGCATGTCAAGCTACGTGACTTGCCTCTATTTTGACAACAATAAGGGTGGAATTTAGGAGACACATTCAGTTGTTTGTGGATAACAAATCAGCAATCAATTTGATTAATAATCCAGTGTCACATGGAAGGAGCAAATACATAGAAATTAGATTTCATTTCTTGAGAGAACAAGTTAACAATGGAAGATTAAAACTAATCTATTGTCCCACTCAGTTACAGCTGACAAATGTTTTTACTAAACCTTTAAAAGAAGGACAGATTTGGTAGCCTAAGATATGAGTTAGGCTTGATTAATTTAGTACTTAAATTAAGGAAAAATGTTGTATTAATTCAAGTATGTTTTTTTGATTTAGACTCTTGTAAACTCTATAAATAAAAGTGATTTATTTCTTTTCAAAATAGAGATTAAATAATACTTCTTACTACATATTCTTTATCTGTGGTGCGTGTGTTTCCTCCGTTCTCTTCCTATTTATTTTTTCTCTTCCAAACCAACAGAGTGACACTTATAACACAAAAAATCATACTTCCAGATTTTGAATACTTGCTTGTTACAATTACAATTTTAGCAAGCATAATTTTCTTTTTGTTCAAAAACATACATTTGAGCATTCTGTAATTGTTGCAAATTACTCTACCTCCACATTCTATTTAGCATGACTTAATTCAATAAACAACTCTTTTTTCTTTTTTTTTTTTAAATAAATATCATATACATAAAATTCCACCTTAATCCAACTAATAATACATTTCACGCATTTAATTTATATCAATTGAATAGATGAAAACTTAATTAGCTCTCCTTATTGAAATGCATCAATGTCTATTAGTAGAAATATTTTTATATATCTTTAGGAGCCAAACGCAATTATATTTATATCTACGAAACTTTTAACTCTACACCATCCATGTATGTCTCTTCCTAAAAAGAATTCAATGAAAAGAAAAAAGGAAAAAAGATTTGAATCAAAATTGAATCCCTTGAATCTTGCATGCAAGGGTATCAATGATTTATTACTTGGTCAAATGTTTCATCTGTATCTCCATTATTGAATATGTAGTAAATTATATTCTTAATATATGAAAATGTCTTTCAATTAGTTAAGTAAGTGAAATATCTATTGATGTTAATCAACAAAATTGACTCAATGTCTATTAATACCATTTTTTAATAGTAAATCTTACTTTAACATTTTTTAGTAAGCAATTTTTTTTTGGATTTTACAGGAAATCCTTCAATTTTAATTTTTAGGTTATGAGAGTATAATAAAAATACCTTTTTAAAATCGTGATAGATTTTCTGTAAGAATCCTCGTTTATGATATAAATTCATCAAGATATTTTAGTGCAAGATCTTGTAAAGTAAGATCATGTACATTTAAGAATTTAAGTAAAAATATTATATTTGAAAATCCCATGTGAGAATCTTACAATAAACATGATGATATTAAGATATGCAAATGAAGAAATAATTGTACAATAAACCCACATTTACTTAAACTAACTCAAAAAGTAGTTCTCATTAAATAACACCATTTTTAATATTTTCAAACAATTTTTGTTTTTTTTTTCAGTTTCTTGTCATTGTTTATACGTTTCTTTGGTTTTAGTGATAGAAAATCCTGAAAATGAGTTTGTGGTTTTGATCGAGGTTTTGTTTTGTTTGCTAGTTTAGATTATTATTGTAATTTGTATTGGAAGTGGTACCATTTGATTTTGGTGTGGTATGACTTAATAAACATCATTGATTAAACTACTTCCTCAATGATTTATTCCACTATTTAAAGAAAATATACTTTTAAGTTCTTACAATTAAAAGACAAGATATGGCATAAAAACATACATAAAAACATAAGTAAACTTTTCCTTGCACCTCCATATATTTTTTTTTTGCACTTTAATATAAGAAACTTTTCATTTTGTTTTTTTAATGGTGTAATCTAAACATGTTTATTCAAAAATAAGAATTTTGAATTGAACCATTTACATCAAACAAGAATTCAAATGATCCATGATGGTTTATTGTACTATTCTTTTCACCTTATATTTAAAATATACTAATTTTAATATATTAAAAATTAATATATTTTAAAATGTTTTAATTAAAATATATTTTGAAAAGACTAAAAGAAAAACAGTATAAAAAATAAACCGAAACTCAAGAAACATGCATAGAATATAAATTGGACATTAGCACTAAAATATCTCTAGTACAACACATTATTCCATAAATAAAAGTTATTGTTGAATTACCCAATACAATTAATTAGGGCAGAAAGTGATCAGATAATTAACATTGGAACAAGTAAAAAGACTAGAAGGGTCATCATAGGCATAGGAGTAAGCCTTAGGACACGCATTCTTGAAGATTCTAGAATATTTGGTGGGCCCACATGTCTGTGGGTTTGCGTAGGCGCCTGTGCAACAGTAGTTTGGCAAATGAAAGGCCATGCATGCACTCTTGCAGGCCACCACGCGCTTGTTGTCCTGTGACCTCACCTGCAGGCCCGCTGGACACACGGTATTGACATCCCTTATACAGCCTGCAGACTTGCACTTTCTCGGATCTGAGCCTGGACCCGAACCTTTGACTGGGATCATGGTCATGGGGAGGTTGAAACCATCCACCAAACTAATGTCATAGAAATCTAGGTCAGTGCTGCCAATGGAGAATTCAGCAATCGTGATAGGTCCGGTGCCGCCAAGCCCGTTGCAGTAGAGATTTCCACCGCAGTCTCCGGTGGCACATTGGCCACGGCCCGCTGCATCAAAGTTGCAGTCAAGACGGGCCCAAACTCTGCCTTTCCATTGTGCGGGGATTTGGAGGCTCTGGGACTGGTGAGGAGGGAGGAATAAACCACCCCGGGCCACAATGGGCTTTCCTGCATTGGGCTGGATCCCGGGCCAGACCGGATGAGGACAGTTGTTGGTGAGTGTTACTGTAGCTGCTGAAACCCACGGCTTGGACACTGTTGAAAACAAGTAACAAGAGTTTAAGTTCAGTTACAATGTTAGTTGACTGAAACAAAAACGGTAACTTTTTGTGTGGGTTTGAATCTGTAATGAAAAGTGTAGAAAAAAAAATACCTGAAATGTTGAAGAGAAAGATTAGGGTGAAGAAGAGACTGTGGATGATCCTCTGCATGATGAAGAGTACAAGGTGACTGCTAACCCTGCTTTTGGTGAAGAGTAAACTTCTGGCTTCGCATATATATATAAAAAAAAGATGATGAGACTCTCCAAAATAAAATTAAAAAAATTTCGGAACTCATTTTAATAATATAATTATGAAAATTAATAATATATAAGATTAATGTTTTTTTATAGATGCCAAAGTATCATCTGTTTTGAAAAGAATGGGTGTGGACATAGACAAGTTAATTGGAGAAATTATGAATAGAAAAGTCCTTTTTATCTAATGAGTACATTTCCTATCATTTATGATACTATATTATGTTTTATTCAAGTTTAACTGAAAATTATTTTCATTAATAAATAAATAAATGCTCTTATTTTTCTTACAATTTATCTCAACCTTATTGTTCTTATATTCTTACCATACTCTTACATATATTTAAATTTAATCAGTAGTATACTTTTTAAAGTTTTACAATTCTAGTTTTTTTATTTTAACATTATTTAGTTTGTATTTTATATATATTATTTTATTTTCTTTTAGTTTTATACACATAATTGTTTATCATTTTAATATATACAAACTAAATTAAATTAGTGCGTAACTGTACAAAATATTAAAATAAAAATAAATTAATTTAATGAATAAAAATTTAAATCTGAAATTTATTAAATATAGAAGCTAAAACAGTACCATAACGTTATACTTGTTAAAAGTCATACTAGTGTTTACATTTATTGTTATTTAATATTTATAGAAAGAAAAAGAATTAAATTTAATACTTTCTCACTCCAAAGTTATAATGTTTTTTGAAATTTGTAATCTCTTAATTCTACTCTTGTTTGTATTTGGTAAAACATTAAATTTTACAACCTGTTACTGATAAATGATTAAATAGGAACATTTTAATTGGTTTGACAATTAATTATATTTTTAGTGTCTGACGAAATTTATTATTATATAAAATGTGAATACATTTAATTTTCAAACTCTCATAATAATAGATATAATTTTTTAATTTTAAGTTAAGACTTCCTGTGTCAACGTTTGAGTTGTCTACAGCCTTTAACACTTCTTTCAATATCTATTAAAAACTATATTTAAAACTTTAAAAATATTTAATATAATTAAATTAAAAAAATCATATTTTTTAATTTAAAAAAAATTAAAATTTAAGATACGAATGCAAGACTAAATCATATTTATGTATATAATAAATACACTAAGCTTAAACCAGTTTGAAAAACCAATAGACGACTATGTAAAATTAACCCTGTGTGTCTTTTACCTGCATCCAACTTAAATGTTTATTTATTAGAAAAAATGTAAATATAATATATAGTTTAATATGATATAATAAAAAATAAAATTAAAATCTTTAATCGTATATATACCAGAATCTCAATTCAATCTCGATTTTAAATAGTTTCAATTGAATTATTTCTTTTAAATATGTAATAAATAAATTTTTATGTTAATTTCATTAAAACAGCGTGAAGAGTTGGTAAGTTGTAACATTTAATCAATTACTTGTTTTCTTGTTTAATAATGCACTATAGGTGATGTGTTCAATTACATGTTTATTTTACCTATTCACCTAGCGCAAGTATAAAAACAATGATGGTGACGACATGGTCAGTCGAGATGCTCAATTTAAACTGCTTCATTCAATTTGGCTATTTTAACAAATAATTATACTTCAAAATATTTCTATCAACCTCTTGGCATCACAAGACTTTTAAAAAAAAACTCAATCAAAAAAATACACGAAATTTGACGAAAAGAGATTCCAATTTTTACCACCTATAGTGGAATAAGCTCTTCAGATTCTTCATCTTGGTGGAAAATAATGGTTTATATATATATATATATATTGTGATAAACAAACAAACTCATATGAATGTAATTATTATGTAATGTAATTAATGACCATCTTTATTCATTCTCGTATAACAAGTAGTTGATAAACAGTAATAATTGCATTTAATCAAATACTTTACACCTTTCTTGTTTTATATATTAATTACAATTGTTGTCCTTTTTTTTATAGAAATTAAAAAATTCTATTCGAAATTCATTAAGTATTTAAGAATAACTTATGTAAAATACACAACACAAATGTACAATAAAATTTGGTTCATTTACTTATTGTAAGGACAATATATTGTTGTATCTAGATCTTGACTGACTCTATAAGTGATAAATATGGTTCAATGTTGGTTTTGTGTTGAAATTGTGTGATTATGTGCAAATTTAGTATTTAGGCAGAAACAAAAACAAAAATGATATTTAGATTTTTTTTTTAAAGTCTTATTTTAGATCTAATGATCTTGGAGTATTGTTTTTATAACTTTTTTTCCTTATTCTTTTTTTTTTTTGAATTTCTAAACTCATTGTGTCCAAAATGACTTATATGTTGATAACAAGGTTCACCTTCATTTATTTTTAGGACAGAAAGTGATCACATAACCAACATTGGCACAAGGAACAACACTAGAAGGGGTTTTATCAAAGGTATAAGTATAAGCTTTAGGACAATATTTCTTAAAGAGTCTAGAATATTTGTTGGGCCCACATGTTTTTGCATTTTCACATGGACTATTGCACGCCACCACACTCTTATTGTCCGCTGAGCGCACCTGCAGGGCGGCGGGGCACACGGTGTTGAGGTCTTTGGTACAGCCCACAATCCCACATTTAGAATCATCTGGGCCTGTGAATGATTTTATGGTGATGGGGACGTTATAACCGTTCACAAAACTCACATTGTAGTATTGTTGATCATCTTGTATAGAAAGACTGACAATGGTGACTGGCGGGACACAGCTAAGCTTGTTGCAGTAGAGGCCGCTGCCACAGTCTCCGGTTATACATTTGCCACGGCCTGCGGCATCAAAATTGCAGCCCAAGCGGCCCCAAATACGGCCTGACCACAGATCGGAAAAACCAATCCATTGTTCCGAGTTAGGAGGGAGGAAAAAGCCCCCGCGGGCCACAACGGGGTACTGTGGACTGGATTGAATCCCAGGCCAGACTGGGTAGGAACAATTGTTGGCAATTGTTAATCCTGCTGAAGCCCAAGGTTTGGGCACTGTTAAAAACAAGGAAAAGATTGTAAGCTCAGTCACAATGTGGTTTGTTGAAGGAAAATTATATGATTTTTCTGATAATTTTTTTTATAGGCTTTAAAATATGTAACAATAAACAAATAATAAATTAGTAAAAAATAAGATAACTGTTATATTAAAATATATTTTTTTGTTGAAAGTATATGATTTTCATTGGATGAGTGTGTGAGGAAAATCATAAAAATTGTGAAAAATTTTGTATGGGTTTTAATCTGTAATGAAAAATATTAGAGAGGAAATACCTGAAATTTGGAAGAGAATAAAGAGGGCTAAGAAATTAGTGAAAAAGGATCTCAACATAATGAAGAGTTAATGTGATTGTTTTGTATTTTCTAACTCTTCTTTGGGAGAAAAATAAATTTGTTGTTTTGGGTACATATAAAAAAACAAAATTGATGAGAATGAAAGAAAAAATTAAAATTCATTCTACAAGTCATTTTAATAAAGGTATATCAACAGTTTAAATTAAAATATTAATATATTAAATTATTGAATGTTTTTTTGCTTTTTTCTTTATAATCATCTCTTTGAAATAACAGGTGTGCCAGTAAACAATTTGACATTGAAAAATCAAGAATGAAAAAATGTCCATTGCTATTTCATGAGTATATTTCCTATCATATAACACACTATTTTTTATATTTAACTCTAACTAATCACTTTGTTTCATAAATAAATAAATAAGTATTTCTTTTTATCCTACAGCTACTTTTGTCCGTGTGCATTTTTTTAATGTTTTTTTATATTATTTTATTAAATTAAAAATATTTGATTTATAATTATAACATGTTCAATATATTATCTGTATAATTTTTCTTTTATTTCTTTATTAATTTTTTTACTTGATATGCATATAATATAAGAAATTGTTTTAAAGTGTATATATATATATATATATATATATATATATATATATATATAT